TGTTGAATTTCATTGAATAAATTATTGTTTGATTTTTACTAAATACTGTATATAGTTTATTACTAGAAGTTTAATTAAATATTTGATTTTGTTATTGACAAACTTTGTCATTATTTAATTCGGTGCACGCTTAAAGTCCAGGCCTGACACACTAACGCGAATCCGCGTAAAGTACCCGTTAGGGAACGGCTATTTCCGGCACACAGTCGTGTCGATAATCGTTGGAAAAGTCGGAAAAATAATACAGTACTTTACACAACATAAACATAATAAAAATTATAAATTTCACTAATTACATTATTTACTAATGATCAATATATTTTATAATTTTTATTATTTATTAATTTTTATCATCAATGTAGTATTTAATTAAATCCAAATTATAAATGATTAAAAAATGTAAAATAACCATTGGAAGATTTATCAAATACAGGTAGCCCGCGGTTTACTCCGGTTCAATTTACGCCGATTCACAATTTGCCGTTTCGCAGTGTAATTTCCCGATTTTTCACATGCTATACAGTACTCATTTTCATTTCAGTGTTAACGTATTTACCGAGCCGCGACATTGTACATTCGTTAAAACAAAGATTTTTATTGAATATATTTTTTCTGTTTAATATAATCGAGTATGTATAAATTTGCATTAAATTAATATTAAAATACTAAACGTTTAGGTACCCACGAGTCAAGATATTAAACTTAAAAGTCCAATAAATGGCGTCCGAATCCATAGCGCCAATGAATGTATCCCGTATCAGTTCGTTCAAGAAAACACCTCACGACGCAATAGCACTTCCGGCGATCACAAACTATCGTTAGTGAGACAAATCTACTTCTCGTTGGCCAGACGATATTTTTCTCTCCTTAGCCACCTTGAATTTTCTCGCTCAAACTGACCTTATACCGACCGGTGGTCGACCAATCTGTGTCTTCGCTCGTCTGTAACGTATCCTTTCAACTAAGGAAAGTTTGACGGATGAACTTTGTGAGTTAGACAATGATTGGAAGCGATGCAAATGTAAAAAAAAGCATCATTGAGAATTTCGGAATATGAATGAAAACAAAAGTGTAAACAATTAAAGATGGATACTTTTTTCGAAAAGAGATCCGAAACTAAAATTTTTTTAATAAAGACATTTCACTTTATTTTATGATAAATTTAATTTTTTAAATGTATTTTATTTGTATTATATTGTATTAATAAACAAAATTTTGCTGATTTTTCCCTTATGTAGAACCTAAACCTATACCTCACTGTAAATATGGGTTCGTTTTACGCCGATTCGATTTGCGCCGGCGTTTGTTGGAACGGAACTGCGGCGTAAACCGAGGGCTACCTGTACTTAAAATTTTATATCTAACAATCTATTGTTGTAATAATTTTAGAATAGTTGTCAGAATTCTGATACAGTAGAGCGTCGTTTATCCGAATCAATTGGGGACTCGGGTTGTTCGGATAACCGATTATGTACGAAAAAATATATTTACCTATCCTGTGTTGAAATTTTTCTCCGTTGCGTGTCGCTTCGCGTTGAATTTTCGTCGATGTTAAGCCTAATGTAAACTTTTTAAAATAATAATCGTGGCTATTGTTAAAAATTATTTTTTTACAAACAAAGTAACTTCTAAAGTATATTTTTTGTGTTTTTATATTTTTAATCTAGTATCAAAAACGTTCGATTTAGCATGACACACAGTCCTGAGAAAATCACCACAGAAAAGTGCCAGTGCTGCCAGCTAAAAAACACACATCAACAAAAAAATATTGGAGTAGCCAAAGATTGCAGCGCCACAGCACTAGCGAAAATTTAATTTTTCGACTGGAATTCTTTTGGATAAACGACGCTCTACTGTAGTTCTGTTCTAGTTAGTTCTCATTATTAAAAAAACATAACAAAATGCCTGTTTATATTTCAAGTTTATACTATCTTTATATAAAGACATCTGTTATAATATGCTTTTAAGAATATGGCCTAAATCAGTGGTTCTCAACCATTTTTGTTGATGTACCCCATTTCCCATTTGTTGTTTCTCAAGTACCCCTTATATATTGATATGTAAATTTTATAATTACTGCGTTAGATGTATACAGCCCTTAAAACTGAGCGCCATAAAAATAACTAAAAATGAATTACTTATTTTACGTAAATAATAATCAATTTAATCAGGTACATACATTTATTATTATTTGACAAGTATATTATATAAAATCACAGAAGTCATTTCAATACATGCATAAATTACATTTCCTAAAAATAAATAATTATAATTAACAATAACGAAAATTTAAATTATTCTATAATAATTTCTAACAAAATTTAATGGGATATTTGTTGCGATAAATCTTCAGCAATTTTTTCAAAATTTGATTTCCACATTGTTAAATAGAGATTATAATTGTGTAATGGCTGCAAATTTATAAGGTGCAGAACAATACACGAATCTTTCAATTTTTGTAACAAATGTAACGTCTAAATTTGCTAAATATCAAGTAATGTGCGCATGTAGTGACATGTAATCCAGGCCTCATTATTCCCAATACCAGTAGTCCAGTAAAAACACAAAGCCCCAATCTTATCGATAAATAATTATAGAATATTTAGCATAAAGGGGATGAAGACTCGGGACTACTCATTGGTATTGCGCGAGTATGACGAAGAGTAGAGAAAAGGTAATTAAGGGAAGAGGCAAAAGGAAAAATAAAGCGAGATAGGAAAGGGGATGAAAAGTATTATTATAGAATAGAAAAAATATTTTTTTTCTATTCTAAAATTAATGGTCGGTTAAACCGTAATTTTACTAGACTACAGGTTCACTCAGCACAAATAGACAGGCAAATCAAATGGACAAACAAGTTGTTCAGACTGTTAAAAGGAAAATTGGTGTTCACACTGGGATATTTTAAAGCAAGTTTTTGTTGTTTCTTCTGTTAATAATTTACCGCAAATTGATTAACATACTCCATTTTATAATGAAAGTTAGATGTACCCCTTCGATTTACGCTCGTACCCCCCGGTTGAGAACCACTGGCCTAAATGATTCATTTTGTCAAAAACTTGCATTAAAATCATTAAAGAAAATGAATAATAAAAAAATTAATGTTAAGTTTCTCCTGTAATCAAAGCTTCATGTAAAAATTCCTGGAATATGTTAGGACACACACCTGATATATGGTATGGTAATCAAGCAGTAAAAATGCATTAATGCCAAGTTTTTAATTAATTGATTTTAATTAAAAATTAAAATGAAAAACATCAAGAAATGTTATCAGATTTATTAATCAAATGGAAAAACTGATTTGTATTGCACAATTTATGACAAAACTCACCAGCACCTCTTTCTGAAACAACTTCATCTTGAATTGCAGAAGCAATTAATTCATCAAATTCTTTAAATTGATAATTCACACATTTTCTACTGCGAGATGATCTTTTAGAATATAATTTTTCATCCTCTTCAGAAAAATCTTCTAAAAGTTCATCTTCTTCATCAAGATATTTCTCTTTCTTTTCCTAATATATATTATTTCAGACAGTATAAAATATATATACATAAACATAATATAAAAATTTTATAATTGTAAAACTTACAGGTTTAAGTACATTATCAAGACTGATACCAACGTAAGCTAACCGCTGCTTTCTAAAAAGAAAATAAAATTCAAATAGTATTTTAAATAAATAAATCAAATAGTATTCATTAATGTTATAAGTACAATAAAAACTATACCTTAGTTCTTCTCTTTCTTTTTGTTTTGCAAGTTGGTCATAAGTTTTTAGCTCTGCACTTAATTTTTCACACAATATTTTCTGCAAGTTATTTTTATAGAAAATAAAATAATAAAATAAATTTACTTTTATTACGAAGTTCTACTTTAAGTAATTAAATATGTATTATATGATAATAGTTTCCAAATGAAATTGTTAAATTATATCTATTTATAATTTATATTTGAAGAACATTTGATAGGAAGGAAATTATTTCTATTATTATATATTCGAAAATTAAGCTTAATATAGAAAACTTAAGAAGTTTATTTAATAAGTTCTAACATTTCAATTAAAATAATTTGAGATTTTAATGACAATTTTGTACTAAAAACATGATAAAACATTAAAATTCTTAGCAATTCTTATAGACATCCACAAACTACTTTTGAAAACATTTATACTTTAGTTTTGTCTCATTCTTTTCTTCATTTTGCATTCTTGCTGTACCCACAATATTAATTCTAAATCCTTTGAATTTGAATCTTACAAAAATATTCATGTATCAAAATTCAAAGTATCTAATATTTATATGTAAATATTATGAAAAGATATTTAATATTTATATGAATAAATAACTTTAATAAACTGGTTCAGTATGTGTTTCTAAATAGTAATTTTAAAATTTCTTGAAGTAGTTTTCTGAAACTTAATAAAATCAAATTTTCTAAATTGAGTTAAACAGCATCTTTCAATTCTAAAAAAATTTAAATAAATTTAGATCATCATTAACAAGAATGAAAAAAATAACTGATGATATCTAATATATAGGATAAAAATATAGCAAGTATTTGATATAGTAAATTTTCTAAAGTCATATTAAAACAATATTTCAATGAATTATAATAATTTCTTTTAAATCATAAAAAATATTTGTGTAAAATAAATAGATAAATACAGTAATGAATGAAACATACATGTTCACATGGAGGACAATACCAATCACCATCAGGAATAATCATTAAAGGAGGATTTAGGCAAGCAGTATGGAAACCTGAATCACATTTATCACACAATAATATCTGTAATACAAAAATTTACAATTATGATTCATATAAAATAAAATTTACTTACTAGAAATAATTACATATAAACAAGATATATAAGGTAATTCAATAAAATTAATAAAATTTCT